TGCCGAAGACAAGGGATCCTCTTTCTCTCGAGGATTATCGTCTAATTAATCTAATTGGGTGTGTGAATAAAGTGATCTCGAAAGTCCTCGCGGAAAGACTGAAAGGTGTTATCGGCTCTGTAGTTAGCAACACGCAAACGGCTTTCATCAAGGGTCGTAGCATTCTTGATGGTCCGGTGATTGTTAATGAGAGAATAGTTTGGGCCAAGAGGATCAGGAAAAAATTGCTTATCTTTAAAGTAGATTTCGCTAAAGCTTTTGACTCTCTTAATTGGAATTATCTGGATGACGTCCTCTTGCAAATGAGATTTGGTGATAAATGGAGAGCATGGATGAAAGGTTGTATTCGCACGCCTAAAGTTTCRATTCTTATTAACGGCTCCCCATCGAAKGATTTTAACATGTTCAGAGGTGTTAGACAAGGAGATCCTCTCGCTCMTTTTCTTTTCATYCTTGCGGCGGAAGGGMTTAATGTCATTATGAGAGAAGCGCATCGGAAAGGRCTTTTTAAAGGTGTTCATTTGGCGAAYMAAYTGGAAGAWGTGTCAATCCTGCAATATGYGGATGATRCCATTTTTATAGGGGAATGGGCTGCCGATAATGCAAAAAAATTGATAAACATCCTCAAATGCTTTGAAGTTTGTTCTGGCCTCAAAATCAACATGAGTAAAATTCGGCTCACTGGTGTAGCGGTTAGCAAGGAAGAGATCTCCAGAATGGCTCGTTGGCTCAAGTGCAAGGAGGAAGCGATCCCATTTTTATACTTGGGTCTTCCGATTGGAGGTAATATGTTGTCTTCGGCAAGTTGGCAGCCCGTCATTGAGAAATTCAAGTCTCATCTCTCGGTATGGAAAGCTAGGCATCTATCCATTGGCGGACGGTTATGTCCTTGTAAATCTGTATTGGGCAGCTTGGGCACTTATTATTTCTCGATGTTCAAAGCTCCTAAGAAGGTGTTAAGCACTCTTGAAAGTATCAGATGCCGATTTTTCTGGGGTGGAACGGAAGAGGTTAAAAGAATTAGTTGGATGGCGTGGGATCGGGTTCTTAGCGACAAGAACGGCGGGTTGGACATTGGGAGTTTACGCGCTCTAAACCTCGCAATGCTTGCCAAATGGTGGTGGAGGGAGCGTACGGAGGGTTAGGCAATTTGGAACTTGGTAGTGAGATACTGCAACTCGGCTCAATCCGTGTCGGGCGCTAGCAGAGTCAGGAGAACTGTCTGGAACAACATCAAAAGTATTGAAAAGGACCTGGGCGACTTCGGGATAAATATCAATAGTCTTCTAATCGACACTCCGGATAGGAATGGGTGGTCTTGGTTGCTGGAGACGAATAATATCTTCTCGGTTAGATCTCTTAGGAGATTGATTGATGGTGTCATGCAACCTTCTGCGGATCAGGGAACAGATTGGCTTAAGTGGATTCCCAGCAAAGCAAATATTTATTTATGTCGAGCGCTTAACAATCGGTTAGCGATTAAGGATAATCTTCTGAAACGAGGAATGGCGCTCAACTCTGACGAGTGCCCGACGTGCGTGGTAACGGCAGAGAACTTGGATCATGTCTTCGTAACATGCTCCACATCAAGGATTATTAACGCGTTGTTGTCTTCCTGGGTGGACTGGTGGCCGACGACTGCTGCTTCGGCTTGTAATATGTGGTTGGTGATCTGCTCGTTTGGGAATAGCTACAGAAGAGAGGTGGGCAAGGTGATTATGGCTGCCTTTTTTTGGACCATCTGGACTCAAAGAAATCAAAAATTGTTTAACGGTAAGCGCAAATCTGATAAGGAAGCTTGTAGAGATATTCAATTCACGGCGTATGATTGGATAAGATGTAGAGGGAAGGTTAATAAGTCTTTTAGTTGGGAGAGATGGATATGTAATCCGGTTAATACCGTGTACTCTATCAGGAACTAGCTCCACACTAATCCTCTTTCTTTCTCAATAAAATGCTCTTTTGCGTTAAAAAAAAAAAAAAAACAAGATATGCAATTATGCAAAGGCTTTTTGCATGTGGCGAATAAGTATCCTGGTAAAGGACAAATGAAATATCCAGGAAGAAGTTGAAATTCTGGATACATTGAAATGCGAGGAGAAAGTAGAATTTCTTTTTCTGTAAATTTAATAAAGTTTCAATGCTTTTAATACTTATTTTGTTTATAGATATTAATTAATACAGTTTTGTTATTTAAATCCAGTCTTTATATACTTTTAAATTAGATAACGATATTTTAAATACAGTTTCATGTTTCTGATCAAATGCAATATTATTATGTCTTATATAGTTTGCTAACTTTATATAATTTTATTGTCATAAAAAGGTGCTATATATTATTGGCACTATCTTTACACTATCTCCTAAGTTATCTCAAGCACCATCTCATATTATACACGTTATTCACATGTTTTGTCATTTTACTTTAATTTTAATTGCCTATTTTTCAGGTTTTCTAATTGCACAATTATTGTATTAATTGTTGGTCTAAATGGAGCAACCAATAAAAAATCGATGTGTTTATTTTGATGGTTGATTAGAATCTCTTCTCATACAAAAAAACTAAATTATAAAATTATCAATTGAAAACAATTTTATATTTCACTTAACACTGATTTTAATTATCGTGCGTTGCATGGTACTGTACATTAATTTCTAACTAAAAAAGTACTCGTGCAATGTAGCGAGATAAATCTTGATTTTAATGTTTCGTTTAATCTTTTATTTTTGTCAATGTTATAATACGGTCTTATGTAATTTTAAAAAAAATGATAATGCTTTTATTTTTAAATAAAATATAAATTTGAAAAATATCATAAAATTTTAAAAAAACATATCGATATTAAGATTAAATTAATAATTTAAAAATTCTTTTTTTTGTGTAATTTCTTTTATTAAATATTTTTGTGTTATAATGTAATTTAGGGTTAATAATGAATTAATTTATTTTTTGTTTAAAAGTATAATTTTTTATAAAAATAATAATTAAGTTCTGTTAGAACTCAATGATTATCTTAATTATATTTTAGATTTTATATATTTAAAAATAAAATATTTATTCTGTATTTGATTATATTTATCTGCAATTAGTTACACGAATTCAAGCATGTATTTTTAATAAGTTGTACTTACGCATAAGTTACTTGTAATATTGAATTTTAAATAATATGCATCGATAAACAGTACTTCATACATAAAATATTTTCAAGAATTTTTGTCACATGTTTTATAGTATAGATACTAAACTATTGAAATCAGTATTTTACAATTATTGTTTTAATAGTACATCTCAAGTGGGCATCATATTCAAGGCAAATGAACTTTTTAATAAGAACAATAAATATTATTCAGTTTTTAATAGTATGACCATAGACAAATATATAAAATCAAATAATATCAAATTAAAAAATATGTTATCTTAGATTAATTTCTGTGAGTCGATTAAATAGATGAAAAACTTAAAGCTTAACATAGAAGAGAAAATGAAAGAATAAAAATAAAAGAGAAAAAATAGAAGAAAAGATTCAAAAAAAAGTTAGGGAAATAAAATAAATGAAAGAAAATCGAATAACAAATAAAAAAGTAACAAATTTAATAAATAAATAAAAAGGAAATTTGAAGGAACAAAATAGAAACGTGGCCTTACTTTTAGCATTTTAACATTAAATTAAATATTTAAAAAATAAAATAAAAGTGTACATAGATTTTGGGAAAGTGTGAATAGTCTATTCCATAGTGAAAATTAATATTGTCATTATTAGATATAAAAAAAAGTGTGTTTGTTATCCTAATTAAATCGGTTTTTTTTTATAAAAAAGAAAATCATAAGATGGAAAATAGAATTTTGATAGGACGTGCACCAGTTCTTCTTCAAGACTTCGTTGTCATCTATAAGTAGAGGATATTACAATACTATAATCGCATATGAGAGAAGCAATTGGGGAAAAACCAAATAACAGATCTAAAGAGTTTTTGCAAGGTAATCTAATCTTTTCTCTTCTCGACTTTTTTTGTCATATTTCATACTCAAAAATCATAGCAGATCATTTTTCAATTTTAATGCATAAGTTCCTTTAAAAAAATCCACGGGTCATCAAATAGACCGTTGTAAGATGGTCGTATCCTAATTCCTTGTTAAATATATATTTGCTTAAGCAGATATGTTTAATTAAGGAGAAAAATCTGATTTTTCTCTCCACAAATTCATGTCAAATTGGTTTTTGTTCCAGTACAGATTATAAAAGACTCGTTGAAAGAGTTCATGAATCTTCTAAATATATTGTTATAAAAATATTTCATACTTTTGCAATTATTATATTAAACACTCCCTATTCTTAAATTCACTTGCTTCTGAACCAGGTCATGAAATAAACACACTCGACCTTTGGAACATGTGCTTCTTCTCACCCTTGAAAAATTATTATCTGAAAGCCTTTTGAAAACTTTATTGTCATGTTCTCATGCTTGTGTAGGTTTATTAGATTAGGAAAATCTATGGGTTAATAAAAGTTAATACGACAAGGCTTTCTAATATTATAGAAGTGCTAGTTGTGAGTGACAAGGCTTTGTAGTTTATTTTCAAATGACATGCTTACATTGAATTTGCCAGAAATTAGACTCTCTAGTTTACTTTCAAAATTATATTATTTTTGTATATGCATAAGTTTCAAATGTATTTGCAATAACTTGCAAAAAAAATAAGATGATATATATGTCTGAAAAAGTTTTATATGAAAAATTAAACAACTACATGGTTTTCCAGATTGGTTGGAGTATAAATTATAGTTATATATGTATAAAACCTTTGAACTTTGTTTCATCAGGATGCTTGGAGTTTGCAATCAAATTTGGAGTTGAAGTGTTTGAAGCTTAGGAACCGGATTTTGAACTCGTTTATACACTATTAAATGGGAGACTTTTACCTATAGATTTTCCCTTGAGAAATCCGTCGCTAAAGGTTGGTTTGTCACAAAACCATCACAAAAGTTAGTGGGTAATTCAAATCGGTGACAGACTATCTAGGTATTTTCTGGGTGATCCGTTGGTATTTTCTTGAAAATTATCGGATTTTACCGGAAGCATTGGTATTTTATGGGCAATTCGTCGATAATTATTGATGGGATGTCTCTTTAGAGAGCGTATAAAGTGTTTTGCCAATATCTTTGGTTCGACCACAAAATCTTGAGGATCATCTACAGTGGATATTTGTTATTTAATAAAAATTGTTTGGACAATCCCGGGTCATTTTACATTAAGTCATTAATTAATTAAAATCATTGGAAAAGAAAGTTAAAATAAATAAAAGATAAAATCAGTTGAATCAGAACTCGCGGATTTCTGCTTAAGGAAGAGTTGGCTATTAACTGAGCAAGAGAAGATACACACACTTATAATGGACATCCCATCCGGGGCATGGTTGCCAGAGCTGGTAAGAGTACACTTCTCGGTCTTAAGTTTGCAAATGATAATGGCTGTGATTACTCTCTGAATTCTTGGTTTATGATTAATTTTAATTAACCCATGATAGGAAATGGACGATCCTCTTGACTTCATGTACCAACATCAAAGTACATGTCCTTACAGTGAGTTAATGGATTCATTTTCTTCAAAAGGTTTCAAAGGTCACCTGAATCTGGCCACAAGAAACCAATCTATTCAAGCAGCCACCATCAACGGAGATATGGGAAAGCAAGAAAATTACAACGCCTATCCAACCAGCTCTTTTGATCCTATTTGTGGATCCTCATCCAACAGTTTCACCATATCTTTTGGAGATCTCGACTTACCAGCAGAGATGAGCCAAGATCAACTCTATGGAGGATACAAACTGAAATACCATGATGCAATAAAACCTAAAGAGGAGATGAGTCTAAATGAACTTCTTGGATCCATTGAGCTTCCTAAAAGGGTTTCCAGCACAAGAAGAAACCCTAGACAAGCCCAAGAGCATGTCTTGGCAGAGAGGAAGAGAAGGGAGAAGTTGACTCAGCGCTTCTTTTCTTTGTCTGCTCTCCTTCCTGAAATTAAAAAGGTAATTAACTAAAAGAACATTATACACTTTTTAGCTTGAAATTATAATTTTTGAAACTGAACTTGATTGGGTAACTTCAGTATATTGCATAACTGTGACGTAAGAAAATAAGTCCCATCTTTAATATATTTCAAATTAAAGTTGAATTTAGGAACACACATATTACACTCGCTATGATCCATTACGTACACTTCGCTTCCTGATATCAAATTCCCAGTATAATGTCAGCAGGTCAATTAACTATAAAAACCTCAAGAAAGTCACCCCAAACACTACCATGAATACGTTGTTGCCTCTAAACTTTAAATTCAAAAACCAATTAGCTATGCATGGATCGTGGATGCACTTCAGGATCATATATCCTGTAAGACCAGGATCATGAGTCTCAACATAATAATATTCAATATATAAAGTCAGAACTTTATGTTCCAACTTTGAAATGCTCATCTGAAATTGAACATCTTAAACGATTTGTTGTGGTAGATGGATAAAGCTACGGTGCTAGAAGATGCAAGTAGGTACATACAACACCTTCAAAACCAAGTGAAGGATCTCGAAGAAACATCTATAAAGAAGAGATCCGAGTTTCATGCATGTGGTCTTGAAGATGATGCGTCTTCTTTTGACGAGACTAACTCTCTACTTTGTAGTAGTGATTATAATCCTGGGATTAGAGTAAGAATTTCAGGAAAAAATATACTTGTAAGAATTTACTGCCGGAGAAATTCCTCGCCAGCATTGATGAAAGCCCTCATTGAAATGGAGAGACTTCATTTTACCGTCATGTGTAACAGCGTTCTTCACATCTCAGACACTGCTTCTTTAATCACTATAATTGCTCAGGTACGTGAGTGTTTAGTTAATTAGTAGAAAACATGTCTATTAGAAATGATAGGTTACGATGAACGGACATATTTCCAGTCAAATTGCTATCTAGTGCCATTGTTTGTGCCTAAAATTTTGGCCATTCTTTTCCTTGTTTTGTGTAGATGAATGAAGAGTTCGTCATGGCAGCCATTGATCTTGTAAAATGCTTACAATCTTACCTCTCGAGTTTCCTATATTATGACATGCACTAGATGTGAAGGTTTGATATATGGTGCAGTAGTGCACCTAGCCTCCTTTTTTGTATTATTTGCTAGAAAATAATATGTTCTCGATTTGAGATAAAGTGGTCTATAATTCCAACAGTGGGCAACAGTGTAGTTTACATATAGCACTTTCCAAATTTATTGAGAATATCTTTTTGTCCATTATACAAATTTAGAAGTATGTTATACTCAAATTAGAAGTAGGTTACACTCGTTGGTCAAAGGAAAATTAAGATTTGACTGCTAAAATCGAAATGTGAGTACACTTCGTAAAAGTTTAGTGCGAAAAAAAATATGTTTGTGATTCATGATTCAGTCATGCATATTTTATTTTGTTTATTTGTCTCTTTTTTTAAAATACGTAAAGTTTGTTTTTGAGGATTGCAGTCAATATCATTAAAAGAGAAAATTTGATGTAAAGCAAATCTAAAAAAGTTGGCGGACTCTTTCATAAAATCAATGAAAGAAAATAAATAGTGTTGGAAATAAGACTCATAACGAACGGAGTTAGAGTTATTCCTTTACCTTTTCTATTTAGGATAACAAGTGATATAAACGAATAATTCTCCATGTTATGAAACTCTTCATTATATCCACATCCTACCAATTAAAATTGCACGAAACAAAAAAGTGATGGATAAATAGTAAAAAATCATTATCCTAAATTACATATAATCTTACTAAACATTAAACATATAATTAATACATCATCATTGTCACACACTCTTTTACTCGACAAGTATGAAAAGAAAAATAAACTTATCATTAATATATTACATATATGACAGTAGTATATAAAATAAATTAATACTTAATTTTATATAATTACGTATGCACATGTAAAGGCTTAATTAAACGAGAACCTTAGAATTTGTGAGATATGTGAGATACATTGTGAACCACTAATTTGAAATAATTATATTATTTATTAAATAAATAAAAAAAGTAATTTAATTAAGGATAAAATACGTGAAATAACAATCACATTTTACAAGTTTCATTATTATAGCATTATACTTTCAGTTTTTCTTATTACAACAATGTGCTTTCAAAATATTTTTTATTAGAGCATCATACTTTGAAAAAAAAATTCATTATAGCATTTGATAACCTTTTAAATTAAATTTACCCATTATACTAGGGTTTTTTTTGTCACCTTATCGTCCATGTAGGCTATCCACATGTACGATAGTGCTGACATGACATTTCTTATTACAACATTGTACTTTCAAAATTACTTTATTGTAATATTACCAATTTCTATTACAACATTGTACTTATAATTTTAATATTTTTATCATTTAAACATTGTAAATTTAATCAAATATGTGTACTAAAAATTATAATATCAGAAATTACATATGTTCATAAAAGTTCACTATTTCACGAATAAAAGTATTCATGAAAATTATAATATCAAAAACTAAACATGTGTACAATTCAGACATCATTCTTTATGAATATTTTTATTCGTGAAATAGTGATCTTTTGTAAACATGTTTAATTTATGATATTATAACTTTTAGTGAACATATTTGATTAAATTTACAATGTTTAAATGATAAAAATATTAAAATTAAAAGTACAATGTTCTAATAAAAATTGGTGATATTATAATAAAATATTTTTTAAAGTATAATGCTATAATAAGAAATGTCATGTCAGTGCTATCGTACATGTGGACAGCTTATGTGAACGATGAGGTGGCAAATAAACCTGGTATAATGCACAAATTTAATTTAAAAGGTTACCCAATGCTATAACGGATAAATTTTTAAAAGTACGATGCCCTAATAAAAAATATATTGAAAGTACATTACTATAATAAGAAAAACCGAAAGTACAATACTATGATAATGAAATTTGTAAAAGTACGTTGTTATTTCGCGTATTTTGCCCTTTAGTTAACTAATAAATACATCTAATTAGTTTATTATTCCTATAAATAAAAAATCTATAACTTTTAAAAATAAGAAACCCATAACCCCCTAAAATAAAACATTAATTAATTGTTCACAATTTGTGTTCAAATATTCGCACAACACTTTTAGGGTTTTTAGTTTTTTTTTTTCTTTTTTTTTTGGTTTTTTGTTTTTAGTGTTGTTATGTAAGCATTGTATTCACAAGGTGATCACAATATGTATAAAAAAAAGAAGATAATCACATTATGTATCCAAGACCTTACACAATACTTTTAAGGATCTGTAGTGTATTTTTTTCGTTTTTTTTTTAATTCTAAGAGTCATTATGTCACATTGTGTTCACAAGATGATCGCAATGTGTAAAAGATAGGTGATCACATTGTGCTAAAATAGGTGATCACAGTGTGTAAAAAAATTGGTAGTCACAATGTTTAACTGAAACAATATATTTGATAGTGGTTTATATCGTGATACTATAAATTTTTGGTTTTAAGTTCACCGAAGATGCTTGACGGATGTTCAAACTTGATCATTGATTTTGTTAGCAATGTGTATCTAAATCCTTACAAAATATTTTTAGTGATATGTAGTTCTTTGGTTTTCTATTTTTATGTTCATTTGTGATCACAATGGATTACTTAGTGATACTTGCTAAGTTATCTGTTATTCACAATGTGTTATGTTACTTATTAAATTTAGTTTTAATTTTAGATTGTTTGTTGAAGGACTTAATATAAAAAAATACTTATAAAATATCCATGATAATCTTTACTTCAATTTTTAATTAAAATTTTCCAAAATTTTTGGCTTCCTAATTTAGATTATGCAAACCACCCCTTTTTGCAAACCCTACAAACCAATCCCATCCATCCGTTTTCTTGATCAATGATCATGATTAAAATGTGTTATATTAGGACAGTAAAAAATAAGATAAAATAAAAGGTTTAATATTTAATCAAGGAAGGGCAAAATTGGCAAACCACTTTTAACTTCCAGCCATATTGTTCGATCCTTTTCCGTTTTGAAATAATTTTATTTTGAAAATTGAATAATTTTATTTAATCAGTGAAACTGGTGTCATGACTAAAACGTTTCGGAAATTAAATAAAATGACTTCATTCGTGAAATTGAGTTCATGTTCAATTCAAAAATAATTATCCTCAGATTCATCTTCATTTGATCAAACATTATTGGATTTAACAAACATTTCATTAGTGAGATCGGTTTTATAAATGAAATTTTTTTGGAAAATAAATAATACGATTTCATTAGTGAAATTGGTTTTATCAATAAAAACATTTTGGAAATTGTATCTCATTTTTCGTTAGTGAAATTTGTTTCATTATTCGTCTGTATAATGAAATTTGAGTCAGATATTGTTCAGTCAATAGAACATTTTCCAGAAAGCTGAATAACATATTTTCGTTAATGAAATTCGTTTCATCATTGAAATTGGTTTCATAGACTACACAATTCAAAAACTGAACGATATTGTTTCAGCAGTGAAAATTGTTGAAATGTTTTCAAACCAAAATGAAATCGGTTTCATGGTTTATAACCAAGATGAACTCGGTTTTACATATGAAATTAAATATTGTTCAGTTAATGAAACACTTGAAAAACTGAATAATAATATTTCATTCATTTTTAAATTTGTTTCTTGTTTTCTAACCAAAATGGAATCGGTTTCATGGTTTATAGTGAAAATGAAATTGGTTTTATTAATGAAACCAAATATGGTTCAGTCAATGAAATATTTCAAAACCTAAATACTATTATTTCATTAATGAAAGTAGTTTCATGGTTCCTAACCAAAATAAAATTAGTTTCATTTTTGAAACATTTTGAAAACTGTATAACATGGTTTCATTAATGACATTTGTTTTATGAATGAAAACAAAATAATATACTCAAAATCCGGAAAATATCACAATTATATTATTAATAAATCAGTAACTACTTGTGACTTGAAAAAACAAATATCGATTCTTTTGTTATTATGACAATGAAATAAATAATTCCATAAGAAATAAATTATTACAAATAGACTTTGTAATTGATGTACTATTATTAATTTAATAAAAGAATATAGGATATTAATGGTAATAATTATATATTTAAATCAATTGATCTACAGTTTCCTTAAAAACAGTTACTCTATTTAATCTTCTTTATTTAAAAATAATTAAAACATTAACAAGATTATCTATTACAAAGTAAAATGACATTCATACCCTTATTCATAAGAGAAAAAAAATGAAATTATTATATTGGTTGATGGTGGTTTTTATTGTTTGCATGAAATAGGAGGTTTGCAAAGTAAATCTCTCTCTCTCTCTCTCTCTTTCTATATATATATATATATATATAAGGGGACCTTCGCTTAAGAGCTTGTTAATTTGTTAGATCCGTGAGATCCAATTTAAATTACAAAAAATTAATTGAAAAAGAAAATTAAAAATCCCTCCCTCCTCCTCTCTCATATATTTTTTTCTTAATAACATACACGTACGCATGACATATAATGAATATGAACTCAAGGTGAACATATTGTGAACATTTTTTTTGTTTGAGAGCACATTGTGAACACACTCTAAATCTAAGCAAATCTAGTATAAATTATGCACAAACTAAATTAATAAAATTAAATCTAAACAATCACTATTGTGAACCACAATGTGAATCTTATGGATACCAAACTAATTAAACAATTTATTAATAATATATGAGAGAGGAGAGAAATATAAGTTTTTAATTCATATTCATTTTTTTTTTCAATGAATCTTGCAAATTAGCAAATTTCTTAAAAAAGGTTCTTTTATATATATATATATATATATATATATAATGAAGATGATCAAATGAGAACAAAATTAAAATAAAAAAACATAAAAACAACCAAATCACATGTAATTTTGCACTAAAATCACATAAATTAATGGAACAAGGTCAACACAAAAGGTGAGATGGCTCTTGGCCCCGCGACCTTAGATGATTTGACCATTCTCATATTTTATTATTTGGTTGTATATAAATATATATATATATATATATATAGAGAGAGAG